GATATTCCGGACCATGTCGAGAAAGGTAAGGCCAGCGATTCGCTTCAGGAAGTCCATTTCAGCTGCGCTTATACCCGAGATCGAAATTTTTCAGTGATATAACATGACAGTAGGCAATTCAACAAAAATTACCAAACGTATATCATTTAAGACTGGGCTTCAGTATCATAAAGTACACAGAGAGTTTATAATAACACCGCAGATAACTGTCTGTTCATTTAGTAGTTGCCTCCATAATGAAGGAATAAACCTTGTTCTTGATCGTATAATGCTGATGACAGTGAATCAGCGCGAACTTGAAAATCATGTAAACAATCAATATTTACTGCTGTCAATTTAGCAACTGGCTAAATCTGTCATCTTTGCATAGTACTTAGTACAAGTTAACTTTTACTTAATGGTAATGATGCATATGACGTGCAAAAGTCAATGGAGCTTAAAATAAAAACTGCATAAAAACTTAAACCCTGAGATTAAGCAACCAACTTGACCCAATGGAAAATATGAAAATGACGTGGTCTAAAGTAAATTCAAAATATTTACCTAGTTAAGGTCAAAACCTTATATTACCTTAGATTATTCTGTACAACGAATAACTTCACGGCGCACTGCACCGATCCCTTGCACCTAGTTGCATGGGAAGGAGGGGACATTTCAGCAGGCCATGGCTCAATGGCATTTGAGCACTTGATTCTCGCATCATTTCGTCCGATAACGATGTTTGAAAAGTTTATATTACATAATGTAACGCAGAACTTCAACAACCCATATAGCAATCTATAGGGCGCCAGACGTAAGCGAGGTTTTGACCGTACGTAATGAGTCTTTTCAAGAAAGCTACTGCATCGATTCGCAGAGCAGAGACGGTAAATTAGTTTACCGGTAGTAGGACGCGATGAAGTTCATCAAACCCGCGCAGAGGGCAATTCTGACCTTTTTTTAAAGTTAAAACAGTCAGAAAATTAGATGACGATTAATTTCTCTGATATGACAACCAAACTGTGTGTCAGTCTGTCATTCGGTAGACCATCATATCGCGTGGCACACGTTTAAAGTGTTTCTGCTATTTATCTACTAATACTACCGATGCACTAACAGTAGATTTATATCAATGTTCAACAGCAATTAATTAATTAACTGAACCATTATATTTACACCTGAACATGAAACAAAGATTGTAAAAATGCTCAATTCGGACTCACAGCAATAATGAATGCTACATTTCTCACGACAGTCAATAAGATCCTAAGCAAAGTAGCGGTACAAATTCGCGTAGGTCAACACTCAAGTACTTAAGAGTAATTAATAACTATTTAAGTAAATTTCGACCATTTACTAAATGTCGCTAACTGCGCACTTACGGACTTACTCGACAGCGTTGAGCAACTGATTGCTCATCGGGACCTAGCCAAAATTAGCATATGCGACTTTTCAGAGCCAAAAACGAATACCAAATCATCATCTTGCAGAAGCTTAGCTGCTGAAAAAAGAATAAGTACTGAATTAAAGCTACTATTTATGTGGGAATAATGCTAACTCGTGGCTGAACAAAAAATTTTTTTTATAAATTACAGGCCCTTAAACTGGATGTCAAATGTCAATACCTAAGTACTTAATATACTAAGGTACCCAAGTACTCGGCACAATACACGTTTAGTAAATTTGTATCAAACCATCAAATCTGTACTTATGTAGAAAGTAGTAGTATAGTAGTAATGGACAAGGTTGCCATACGTTCATAGCGGAAACCATCAGACCCAGAAGACCACCTGATCGCCTGCTGATAACTTCATTAAGTCCAAAGCTGATCTACTGACTGACCTTCGCCAGGCTCTGAACGAATATCACAGACGGTTAGACTCTGGCACAGCACAGAACGAAGATAAGCACACAAATGATAAGAAATACCATTAAAAATGCATCGATCAACTATCAGCTTGATATCAGATTCATGTCGGCTTATTCAAATGATATTTACGCCCATGACGCGTGATCAAGCTCTACAACAAGTCTACGCATAGCATGGGGTTTTCAGCAGGTGATTCAATTCGTAAGCGCGGGCTTTATGGTAAGCAGCAGATGACTAATACTAGGGGCCAAAAGTCGGTAAGCGAAAGAAGTTTTTATATATAATATCCTCAAGGATAACGAAGTCCTGACGAAGGTACTGTTTAGCATCAGTATTTAGTGACCAATGAAATAATACTGAGATGGCTATCGCGAAGCCAATACCATCATACCCCGCTCAAGTGAGTGCAAGTGTTAGTAACCCGTGTTATATTAACTAAGCACAACAAAAAACAGGCCCAGAGCTGCGCAGGAGCAGTGCTTGGCAAAAAGACACCGTACGAGAATAGAAACCTTCCCGATTTAGCCTCAAGCATTGTTCAGCAGTTCGGTATTGCTGTGAACCCTCCCTCTCTCCCTTCTGACTGATTTTGTAAAAACATATTTCCACTCAAATCAACAAGACCACATTTATTTATCTGACCACCTTCATTTAAAACTGCACTAAAAACACGTGAGCAAATGGACATCGATCATCAGCAGGAATGTACCTCCTGCTAACAATTATAGAATTACTTAAAAGCAAATGATGGGTTATCCTGTATTCGACTGGTCCTCCTCGTAGGAACCCCACGAATGCAAGTCGACGATCCTCCAATCTTTGCTTTTCTTGAACGTTTTTTGGCAGTTCATTTGGGGAATCGACCCTCGTGAACTATCGCCCATCTCTCCCCCAGCCGTCATTGGAACGACACGAAAGAAGCGTTATAAACCTCTTACGGACAGATATAACTGACAAGTAGCGGTCAACGACGGCCTCGATCTATTGAGTGGGTTTCTGCACGACTTTCAAGCTCAAACTTTAGCAAGAGAAGG